TCTTCGCTAGCTCATTTTCAACCGAGCATCCCAACCTTCCCGCCTTTTGTTTTTCGCTTTCGCTCGCTTGAAAAGAGTGGGAAAGTCAAAACCCGATAACTACTGATTGCCAATCAACCGGCGAAACCTCCCACGTGCAACGGGAAAACATAACCCGCATGAATCAATCAAGAAAGGGTCCAAAACAGTAAACTGATCAGCGAGCGAACGAATCCCGTCCCGTCCTTGTCTCTACTACCAGGTAGCGCCCTCGCAAATCTACAAAAACAACGAAGCAACCATGGACCGTTGAAATACAGACGCCCGTCAGCCTCTTCAGACTCGTCCCGTTCTATGTCATGTTCACCACCACCACCTCCGCCTCCTCCTCCTCCCCCTCCTCCTCCTGCCCCTGTAATTTGACCACTTCGTCAGTTTTCCCGATCCTTCAACCTAGGAGGTTTACCTCTCTCTCTCTCTCTCTCTCTCTCCCTCCCCCCTGTAATTTGACCACTTCGTCAGTTTTCCCGATCCTTCGACCTTGTAGGCGGTTTACCTCTCTCTCTCTCTCTCTCTCTCTCTCTCTCTCTCTCTCTCTCTCTCCACACACACAAATCCGGTATCTTGTCCCGATATCGAGACCGATCCGCCTTGGGTAAAGTTTTGCAGATGATAACTCAGTGACAGTTCCACAACTCCGGTATCTTGTCCTGATGTCGACCCCGACCGCGCCTTTTTCTCGTTGTCCTTCTCTCCCCGTTTCCGCTCCTTCAATACTTCGATGGGAGCTTCTGTGTGGAACTACCCGGCGCGACGGAGGGATAGAGGGAGAAGACGACAAACGAACGAGGGGCTGTGACAGGCCTTATATATATGTACACACACACACACACACACACACACACATACACATATCGTCAAACAGAGCTGCCCGGTAAAGCGTAGGCAGAGAGGGAGAACAGGACAGCAAACGAGGGGCTGTGACAAACTGTTTCGTCGGAGTTTTCACCGACTCATCAGTTGGCTGAACCGTTATATATATATATACATATGTCTATATAATATCTGTACATGAGTCGGTGAAACTCCGACGAAACAGTTTGTCACAGCCCCTCGTTTGTTGCCCTCTTCTCCCTCCCTCTCTGCCTACGGTTTACCGGGCAGCTCTGTTTGACGATATATATATATAGGGCAAAGAAAAGAAGAAGAGAACAGCCAAATAAAACAGAAATCCAGCGGCCTAGCGCGGTTGGTAAGGCACGCGAGTGGCATTCAGGAGGTCTTGGGTTCAATCTCCATAGGCCTCATGTTCCTTCCTGGGCAAGCTTGGCACCCGCCACCTGGAGATATGTCGTTGGTCCCCCTGAGTGGCATTGAGCAGAGACTGCTGATGTTCATAGGAGGAGGGGACCGGAGGGGAGGCACAGGGCCTCGCCACACTACTCTCGAATCTCGAAAATTCGTGAGTTGGGCACCGCCACACAGCATCGCTCGAAAAAAAAACTTGAAACCGTTCGAGAGCTGTCAGAAAGGCGTTTTCGAGTGCCCTCTCGAAACGATGTTTTCGCCCAGCCTTCAGCGTTGGAGTTTTCGTGATACCGCCCCTCCGCGCTCGAGTTCGACGTCCATTTTGAGAGTTGTCAGGCCGTTTTTCGTGATGCCGCCCCTCCGCGCTCGAGTTCGTCCATTTCGAGAGGCCGGTCTAGTGTGCTATGTGGCGAAGGGCCGGTTTTCGGCCGTTTTCTCTCGAAAACCGGCCTCTCGAAAAATCCTGACAGCTCTCGAACATTTTCGAGATTCGAGAGTGGTGTGGCGAGGCCCACAGTGACTGGCCCATCGAAGAAGCTCGGTCCTGATGCTACCGACTGACCCCTGGCCGGTATCGCCCACCTGCTGTAGCAGGTATTGCACCTGTTGGTGGGTGCAGCTCCCTCATGTTCCCTCGTTGGAGGCTTGAGCACGGATGTGGCTGCTACGGGGTTCCCCGTAATACTATAATAACAATAAGAAAAAGGCCTGAAAGGCCATCCTGTCCAGATTTGACAGGTAATTGAATTGGTTGGGCTTAAAGAATTAGCCTTATAAAAAATAACAACAATAATAATAATAATAATAAAACAGAACAAGAGGCAACAAAACAGATCCCAGATGACAAGTTCCACATGCAAGCACCGCCCCAACACACACAGGCCGAACGACGGGACAAGACCAACCAGGATGTCAAAACATTCTTGTCTGCAAAGAAATAAAAAAAAATCCCAGATACATATCTATATACAGCAAATGGCCTTGTTCGACATTCCTATTCGGCGTCATCGTAAGCAATTCGTACCGGGACATCATAAAAAACAATCCTAGATGATGATTCCCACATAAAAGCACCACCCCAATTGATAGGCCGAACAACAGGAAGCAACCAACTAGGATACCAAAAAGAACCGGTCTTCTGATCAAACTGGATTCGGTCTAAGGGAGCGCTGGACGGAACGTCGCGGCTGGCGCAGAGAGCTCTGCCCTCGTGTTACCGGGTCAGTTCGACCATACGATCGCCCGAGGCGCTACCAACACGATAGCCCTCGGTAACTCCGATACTTTCCCCTGCTCGCAGGGAAAAACAGCTATGGTGAAGATTGCTTCCCACACCTGAATTTGGAAGATCGCCGCCCAGCGCACAGTAGAGGTAGTCGAGTGAATATCGAGTAAGGAGACAAACAGCAGAGCGTTCATAGACGCAGCCAAACGTGGACTGACGTCGCAACTTAGAGGAGAAGCTTCACTTAGGAGTAATACAAGGGAAGGCAATGGAGGAGGTAGATGCTGATGGAAGGGCCAGGATGGAGGCTCGTTCTCTGCCACCTGGTCCTTCAGAGCAAATAAACTACTGGGAAGAAAAAGATCGCATAAGAGGACTGCTAACTCCGTGCTTCGACGACGGGGTTTACCAAACGAACTTGGATCCAGGAAAAATGTTAGTACAAGGAAGGGAAGTCAAATTCACGCTCAACATTTCATTGGACGAAATCAAGATCAAGTGGCTGAAGGAAAGGGCAGTGTTGGTCATCTTCAAGGACAACGCAAGGTTCATGCCCAAGAAAGTGAAAGACGACATCATAAGAGCCTTCGAGGACAGTTGGATCATCGGGAGTGAATGCTTCCCACTCGGAGCCAGAAGAGGCAGAGTCAAAATTGAGGGGCCAAATACCCTGTTCTACGTCGCAAAATCAAGAGAAGTCGCTGAATTCATGATAAGTGAGGGAGGAGTTTATATTCTTATCAGAAACGTGAACTGCAAGATTTTGTTCAAACCGTGGTTGACAAAAGCGGAATTCAAAGAGCTAAGAAGGCAGAAGCACGAGCGTACCTTTTGGGTGATGGCCATCCAAATTCCATTGGATGACATGTCGTTCATCTACTCACAAATTGAAAGAGTCATTGGCAAGATAGTGCTAGCACATCCGCCAGACACGGACGCGACCAGACCGGCGCTGGTGAACGCAAAATTTGATATCGTTCCAGAAGCGCGAAGCAATATGAAGGACAAGTTGTGGGTGATAACCTCGAAGGGAGATGAGCTGGAGGTGAAACTCGCGTGCTCCTCAACGCCGAAATGTTGGATTTGCAAGCAGTTCTTTCATACAAAGTCGGAGTGCCGCAAAAATGAAAGACCTCAAAACAGGGAAGGCGGTGACAACAATAACGCCTCATACCAGCAGGCGACTCCAACACACTGCGAGTCAGGGACTGGCAGAAGAGGAGAAAGAAGACAGGTATATCATGACCCCTTGGGCCTCCAACCAGCTCAAGAGGCTCCAGTAACGGGCAATGCCTCAACAAGCTTCCCCTATGCGGCCCCAAATCCGATTTTCTCGCCAGGAGGAATTCTTCAACCTAACCCATCGATGGCGAACCTGCTCCACATGATGGCTGCATTGCAAGGCCCTAGTCTACAGGGAGGCATCCCTAGTTTCAATGGGAATTGGCCAAATTACAGCCAACCACCCAACGTCTTTGGAGGAAGAGGCGTTCCACAAACGTCACACGGCTCAGGACAACAAAGTTATGGTCAGAGCAGCCAAGGACAACGGGCTCCATTCATGCAAGGACCTTTTACCTTCCAAGAGTATCGGCCAGGAGCTTGTGAGGGAGACCCAAGACCCCCATTCAATGGGATGAACCCAAGTGGCACATCGGCTATAGAGAAAACACAATAGCCTGAGCAACAGAAAAATTCCCACAAGAAATGCAAGTTCAAAAAAACATTTCATTAAAAAAATATATTTTATTTAAAAAAAATCCTTCACATTTAAAAATTATCATTCCAATGTCTGTCAAATTCTAAAATGTCCAGTTTATTTGATAAGTTCCCGTCTAAAAATGAGTTTTCCTTTCCAACTATATCTATTTGTTGGAAATGGAATGGAAGTCTAGACGAGTTTATGAAATGTCTTAATTAAATTTTCATTCTACTACAACAAATACCTTATAGTTTAAATTGGATTATCATATTTATGATTGAAAATCCTTATATAGAATGGCAGTCTAACTAAAATATTTCATGAACTCATCCAGACTTTCATTCCATCTCTGGCATGCAGTTCAAATAAGAAGGGATACCCCATTCTTGGAAGGAAAATTTTCAAGTAAGACTGTAAATTTTAAAAGTGGAATGACATTTTT